GCCGCGTCCAGGGTGTCAGTCTTGGCCAGCTTTCCCGTGGCCCTGGCAAAGTCGCGCACCTGTCTTGGATTAACGACGACAACCGGCATCGCCTCGACCGCCAGGGTCGCCACAAGGGGCAGTTCCAAGCCTCCGGACGCCTCCAGCACCACGATGTCAGGTTCCAGGGTCTTTAGGCGGGATACCAGTTGTCGGATCCCTACTTCGTCATTTGAGATCGACCACCTTTCGTCCGTGGGACGGACCGCGATGTCCATCCCAGCCTTGGCTACGTCGATGCCTACATAGTTCTTCTGCCGTTCCATGAGCAACTCCTGTGAATACTGGCCCGTCCTTGCAAGATGCGGGCTTGGTTGGCCCAGGCAACTGTTCGGGCTCTATTCGGAAAAGGTGCGGCGACCCTCGCTATAAATCGGTCTCTGATGACCAAGGAGCCGTCGGTCTGCCGCACCTCGCTCCACTTCGGTAAGGTCCATTGTACAGACCAAAATCAACATACAAGGAGCCTGGCTTCAAGCCCCATCGCAGTCTTGTCCACTCACTCGGCCCATTTCTCGTACTCAAGGAGGTAGAAATGACAAGTGCCGTAAGCCATATAAGCAGTCGTGCCATTCAGGTCGTCGTCGGTATAGACACTCACCAGGTGATACGCGACAATGACTTTTGCCGGTCACGACAGTAAAACTTGCCGGTTGGTATGAAGGATTATCTCGCACCAGGAGGTGTGAGATTGATCAGCGATCGACAGGTAGTTTTGATGAGGCAGAAGCTTATGGAAGGCAAGACACAGAAGGCGGCGGCATCAGGTATGAGTGAGAGGTCTGTACGGACATGGCGCAAGGGTCCGCTGCCGTCGGAGAATAAGGTCAGGCGCAGGCAGAGGACGAGACCGATCCTGATTTGGCGCCCGATCCTCCGGCCCTGAAGCTGCGAAGCTGCGTCGCGCCCTCGATTCGCCGCTCCTGCTCGTGGGCGGCCCTAACTGTCTGCAGATACTCGTCGACCAGTTCAAGCCTCTCCTCGCGCGAAGGCTTGAAGCCGGGTACGAGGTTGGTCAGCGAGTGGAGCCACTTCCTTGGGAAGTTGGCTATCTCCCACTCTACGAGCGAGAAGACATGCTCGAACGCGATAAGCTCCACGGGCGTCAGGCGCAGTCGCCAGTCCGTGGGATATAACGGGGTCAGCGCTAACGGCGCGAGGATGATCCCTGCCACTACCTGAAGCGACGCCTGGGTCGGAGTGCCTGTGATTCCAAGTCTCTCACGCGTGAATATTGTGGCACAGTGGACGAACCCAATGAGTCAGGCCGAGAGGTGCCTTATGTTAAGATACGATCTGGCGACCTTCGCGGTTGATGCCCAATCTGATTTGGCGGTGCCACACCATGCCTAAGACAACCGTAATTATCACCGTTGACGGATATGACCCCGAATACATAGAGGCCTGCGAAGCGCCGAACCTGATGGCACTGGCGCAACAGGGCTTCTACCGTGTCGGGAAGTCGATGATGCCGTCGGTGACCAACGTGAACAACGTGTCCATAGTGACCGGCGAGTACCCATCGGCACACGGGATAAGCTCCAACTACAGGATGGTGCGCGAGACGGGCGAGGACATCTACATGGAGTCCAGCGAGTACATCCTGTCGGAGACGCTGTTCCAGCGCGCGAGCAAGATGGGCGCCAGGACGATCCTTTCGACCTCGAAGGACAAGCTGCGCACGCTGCTGTCCGACGGCGCGGACGTGGCTATCTCGTCGGAGCAGGCGCCGGTTTGGGCGGTCAAGGGCGTGGGAGAGCCGCCTCCGATCTACTCGCTGGACGTCAACGGCTGGACCATACGAGCGGCCAGCCACGCGATGAAACTCGAATCTGCCGACATCGTCTATATCTCGACTACCGACTTCGCCATGCACACCTACGCGCCCGACGAGCCGGAGTCGCAGCAGCATATCTCTGTGCTGGACGATGCCATTGGTGAGCTCGTGGACGCGCATCCCGATGTCACGCTGCTGCTGACAGCGGACCACGGGATGAACCCGAAGAAGCGCATGGTGGACCTCGCGTACGCGCTTGCCGCGAAAGAGATCGGCGCGGAGGCGGTGCCCATCATCAAGGACCGCTACGTGGTGCATCACAACAACCTCGGCGGCTGCATGTTCATGTATCTTCACTCCCGCGACGCGTCGCGGACAGACGAGGCAGCCGGCATTCTGCGCGAGACCCCTGGCGTGGAGCGCGTGTACAGCCGAGAAGGAGGCTGCGGACGAGCTTCGGTTGAACTATGACCGCATCGGCGACCTGGTCGTCACCGGAGACATCGACACTGTCTTCGGCCCGAAGGAGCTCGAAGACTCGTGGGACGACACTGGCGCGGGTCACAGCCTGCGCTCGCACGCATCGGCGCACGAACAGGACGTACCGATAATCGGCTACAACGGTGACTTCGACGGGTTCGAGTTCACGGAGAACCGGGACATCGGCCGGTACGTGTTCGAGCGGGTGCTGGGCAAACCCCTAAGTGGGTAGGGTCTGGATAATGTTCGACTAAGATTGAAAGTCACCTGCAGACAGTAAAGACGATAATTCAACAAGCGACTCGATTGCGCTGACATCAGTTGTGGCGCGAGCCACATCCAGGTCGTACATCCGCTGGAGATTCAGCCAGAAGTCAGGGGGTCATCCCCAGCGCCTTACCGATTCGCAATGCCGTGTCCGCAGTGGCCGACCTGCGACAGTGGACAATGTCGTGTATCCGTGCCTGGGGCACCCCTATCGCCTTTGCCAAACGGTACTGGATGATGCCCAGCTCGCTCATGATCTCTGCCAGGTGTTCTCCTGGGTGTATCGGTTCAGGGGCGGTAATAGTCTCTCTACTGTAGCGCAGCCGGTTGCGCCAACTACGCGTGGAGCAGCGGGATAATCGCCGCAACTCGCACCCGCCGCGGTTTTCGACCTGCTATCCTTGTAACATCAGCACGACCAGAAGAGGAAATATCATGCTTACCAAGCCCTCAAAGACAGCCGACGAAGACCTTCCTCAAGGTCGCATGCTCACCGAGAAGAAGACAGTCGAGGATGAAGGAAAACCTGGCTCGTCGAAACTTCGGTATGAGCCTTGATGAATTCACGGAGGCTTGGAAAGCCGGTAAGTTCGACGGCGACAGGGAAAAGCACGGAGATGTCGTATTCCTGGCCTCGATGCTGCCTGAGTATTGGACAGATTGACCATCGGAAGGACCTCCGCTGAGGCTGTTGCCAACTACCTGCACAGTATCCAGAGAACGGTTTCGTGCGTGACGGCTTCCGTGGTCGATGTTTCGGGTGGCCGATCATCGCCTCTCCATTCCAGGCACACATCGGCCTGGCGATGAACGGTGGAGTCCCTGTTGGTCTCGGCGGGCCGTCCCGTCTCATGTTTAGGCTGCAACAGCATTACCCAAAAGAGCATTGAAGAAAACCGAGCTTGTGTGTCCCCCCCCCCCCCCCCCCCATGTGTGGAAATTGCACTCCAGGAGGTTTAGATAATCAAGCGGCTATGCCCCCTCGGCGTCTCACGGCAACTCCGGTTAAATGATACCTGCCTTCGAAGCCGCGCCTCCATCTATCACAAGCCAATAAGGTTTTCTGCCTCCGCTTCAGTCGGACGACAGCGCTCATCAGCATAGTGACACCTTGAAACACAAGGGTACATTATGCGCTGTCTCGCCTTTAATCCGTTCGTCGAGTGGCGTTCGTCCTAACCTCATTAGCCTGAACACCGACTCCAGGGGATTCGTTGTCCGCAGATGCACCCCAGGGACTCGAACCGGAGTCATTTAGACGCTCACGAACGATCCAGTCCCGAAGCACCGTATTCGGCGGCATCTGAGCGACCATCAGCTCTCAGATCGGAGACGTACTCGTCACTCAAGGCTGCACTCCACTCGCGTCGGCCGGCATCGAACATCTCCCTCAACTGCTGCGCGCCTCAGAGTTCAGCGTTGCCTTCGGCAAGTCTATTGATACGTGTTCTAGCGTCCACGGTGGTTTCCAGGACCTATGATGACCCGCAGTCGGGAACACCGCATCCAGTGCAGCCCACAGACCAGCGCACCGTTCTCACACCGCCAATTAGCGGCCGCACTCAGACCCCGATCCCTCAAGCTCCTCAGCACACCAGACCAACTCTCTCGTGACTCTCTCACGATAGCCAAGCTCCATAACCGAGCAGTTCCTTCACTAGTCCTGCCTCTTGAAACACCACGCATAGCAGAGCAGTCTTCTCCCCTTCCACTCCGGCCCCGGTACACTCCGTCCGCCAGATGATAGGCGTACCTCATCTTCTAAACTTCCTGCACACCAACGACCGATATCCGCTCCCACTTGCTCTTCAACTCCGATCGCGTTCGGACTCAATGCCGCAGTCTCTCCCCCAACTCACCAACACCGGCTCAAAGGGTCTCCGGGGGACATTCCCTTTCCAAGTACAACTTCCGAAAAAAAAGAATAGCGGAGGTATGAAGAAGAGAGGATCAATATAGGATGAATATAGTATAGAATCGAATGTCACACAAAAAACGCCACTCTCTCAGCTTAGGCACGTCCGACACCGCTGCTGCGCCTTCACTCCATCCACCAGCTGAGAACTCCCACCGTCCAGTTCCCCTGCCTGCGGTGATAATAAACTTCCCTGTATCCGCGAACTCCTCGACCATGATCATGAAGTGCGGTAGAATAATTATGAAAAGAAACCGCCGAGACTAAACATAACTTATTGTAGATGGAATGATGAGAGAATACTTAACGGCCCACCATCCTGACCATCGCTTCCACGGGTAAGTCAATTTACTGCCGCGCCGTCATTCGTTCTGATATACTTCCCTCACGGCGTACTCCTCCAGTGTTTTCGTCTCATCGACGGTTTGTGATACCTTGGTGGAGGATACGCCTCATTCTCTAAAAAAATAACACTAATGGAGCTTTTTCAATTTCCACAACTTTGATATAGCTCGAAGAACTGAGGGTCCAGGTTCTCGCTGGAGAGTTGAAGTCGTCGAATCCGAATACTACTACAGAGGGGGGTGGGGTGGGGGGGGGGGGGGGGGGGGGGGGGTGGGGGGGTAAGAGGGGGGGGGGGGGGGGGAAGGGGAGGGAGGAGGGGCGGGGAGGACGGTGTGGGAAAGAGGGGAAGGGTGGGAAGGGGTGGGGGGGGGAAAGGGGGGGGGGGTTTAAGTTCGGTTTTTTTTGTTTGTGAGTTGTTTCTGTAATTTTTGTTTTTTTTTTTTTTTTTGTTTTGCAACGATTTTTTTTTCTTTTTTTTTGGTTTTTGCATTATTCGTCATTTTCACGACCGCCGAGGAGGAAAGAAGAAGTGGCTGTATCACTGGCATCCCCGCGGCAGCAGCTCAGGGATGAGTCCCCACCTTCACTTAGGTCACGGAGCGCAGGTCGGGCGTCGTGATGTCCGGGAGGCCCACTTGCCGACCGGAGATGTTTCTCTCAGTGCAGTCATCCGTGTGCTCATAGAGGAAATGGGAGTGCGGCCACTACGTTCTGATTGGGATTCCATACTTACCGAGGTGTGTGCGTTGTGTAAAGGTAAGGTTAGAGGAGTGTAAGTGGGTGTAGTGTTATAAGGGTAAAGGAGAGTGTGTAAAGAGAGATTTCTTCGCGGCCGCGGTTCTGGCCGCGAAAAAAATTGCATTCTCACCCCAATTCCAGAAAATCCGTCGCCGTCAAATCGCCGTAGGGCCTCTATTTTCGGGCCGGACGTGTCACGATCCCTGATCCCTGCCGCGCCTTGAATAGACGCGCTGGTGTCGCCTGCGCCTCTCCGGACTCCAATTCGGGACGGATTGAGAGCCAATTTCTGCCAGTTTTGGACAACTTTTTCCTTCTTGTTTGCGAGATAGGGCCAATCCCGATAATAAAGCTAGTGATTTTTCGCAATCGAATAACGGGGGGGGATGGGATGGGCTGTGTGACGATTCCCATCAGGTCGGGTAATATCCCCGCGTGGGTTCGTTTGGTGTAAGAGTGAGTCATCTGATTGTACTTGTACTGATCAGGCTGCGGTCTGATTGTGTCTCAGCTTGGGCCGCTGCAGCGCCTCCTGCTTCGTGGTCACACGGGTTGTCGGTAGGCGCCGTGCCCTACTGCCCACTCGTCGTGCTGTCAGCGAGATAGTACTGCAACCGATGAGCCGATACAGCGCACCGCCGGGACGGTTAGGGAAGATATGAAAGATGCCACGACCGTCAGTCCGCCGCCTGATCTCACTTGTAAGAAGCGCAGGGGGGTATTTGAAAAAAAAGGCTTCACAGGTGAGAGCGAGGGAGAGAAAGCAGAGTGCTGAACGCCAGCACGTCGAGATCAGGCTTCATCAAGCATCGAGGCGCCTGTGGGGGGGAGGAATCGCTCGGCTAGTCTGCTCGACCACCTTTCTCGAACGGGATGTGCACCTCCTGTGGCAGACGGCTGCTGGTAGATGGTGCGCACCATGGTGGAAAAACAGGGCTGGGGTTTCTGGCACCAGAGTGAGTAAGGTTGCTCATAAAGTGCGTGCGAATCCTGCAAACTCGCATCCGGCGAAACGTCGCTGGGCGAGCCACGGTCACTGTTTTTTGTTAGTGGTTGTTTTTATTCTTATCGAGTACCACACCGTTGCAGTCCCCGCGAGCGAACCTTTTTCGTACGAACAGCCAAGTGTTTATATTTCGCCCCCACCAGGCCAGACAAAGTCGTGCAGAGGCATACCTCATGGCACGTTATAAGGAGATAGAGGACAACGCCCCGTGCCTCGCTGGCTTCGAGTGACTAGCACACTAAGGTCTCCATTAACAATGATACTCAATCCTCATAAGCGGGGTGCGACGGACGTACTAAGAGAGAATCAAAGGAGACAAAGTTCAAGCACATGACAGCGTCGAAGGCGATGAGGCAGCCACGAAGATCTATCTCGGGAGCAGGCTAGACCAACGTATGGGCCA